GTCGCAGATCGACAGAGCGTTCCTGGCTTCTCCTTCGCGGTTGGCGATACAGTGGCACGTCACGCTTACGACGCGTGATCTCCCTGAACGGTTGCATGAGATCGGCCTCAGTGACCACGCGCCGATTGTGGTTACCTTTGCTGGCCGGCCACCGATGGACAGCGAGACGCAACCGATCCCACGACACATTTTCAAGAGCCCCGAGTATGCGGGGCAATGCCTGTTCTTGGCTCAGCATGTACAGTGGCACGTTCTTCATCCTTAACAGCGGAGGCTTGAGCATGAGAGACTCACGCGGGAGGCAGCTCGGCGCGTTCGAGACAGCATCTTGAAACATGGGGCACGCGACAACGACTCGTAGCTGCCCATCTTCCGCTCGATCGCCAGAGCGGTCTGGAGGGGCGATCTCAAGCTGGCGGAGCGCCTGATCGCTTCGTCACCGCTCGCAGCCGAGCACCTGTTGATCACCAGCACATCGGTCTCCCTCTCGAACCACTTGGTCTTCGCTGAGGTTTTCGCGGTTGAGCAGAACATCTACAGCGAACGTCGTCTCGCTGATCTCGATCGACGGGCTCAGGCGACCCCTCCTGACGGCACTTCGTTTAAGCACGTCAACGCCATGAGGCGTGCCACCAGGCGGAGGGCTGCACTCTGGACCCCATTCAAGCGCACACTCAAACTTCAGGGACTGCGTCTTCCTGATTCTGGTGGCTCGCATGGCCTGGGACAGGGTGCGGAGAGGATCGTGAATGCCCAAGTGGACGTGTTCGAAGAGCTGCGCAAGCACTGGTCGCCGATATTTCAGCGTGATCTTCCCGAGCACCCTCTTGTGCGACGCTACTTGGACGAGCATCCCGTGGTGATAGATGGCCTCGAGGACATTCGTCTTCCTGACTCTCGCGATCTTCAGCGAGCGGCACGTAGGGCTCGCGCTTCGGCACCAGGACCAGACGGCCTACCGCATGACGCTTGGAGCTGCTGTGGGTCGTCGCGCCCTCTGGAGGACCTGGCGCAGGTGGGGCTAGAGGTCGCGTAGGGGCTGACCTCAATGACCACCTGATGGTTTTCCTGCCCAAAGGTGCCGAGGCCGACGATCTCGTATCGGGCCCAACTCGGACGCCATCCACGACGAGACTTCTGGCCTTCAAGAACACGGACGCAAAGCTGCTGGCCGCCAGCGTGAATTATCTCATCAAGTTCGACATCGAGCGCCACTCCCCCCTCTCCCAGAGGGGATTCCTGCCTGGACGTAACTTCCTGGATAACATCACCCTGCTCGACACCGCGGCTCGTCGGGTTGGCTTCTCCTCCGCCAGGGACCAGCGCATGCCGATGATGGTCCTCCTCGGCTTCGGCAACGCCTTCCCCTCCCTGGCCGTCTCCTTCCTGCGCGCGGCGCTGCTGCGGGCTGGCTTCCACGGCGGCCTCTACCAGCTCATCATGGGCATGTACTGGTTGCCGCAGGCCTTCGTGTCCATGGAGGGCGAGCTGCGTCGCTTCATGCTGGTCACGGCGGGCGTCGCCCAGGGCTGCCCGCTCTCAGGGTCCTTGTGGGCCGTAGCCATGAACCCCTTCGTGGCCCACATGGAGCAGATCTTGGAGCACTGGGAGGCCTCCGTGGTGGGCGTCTGCGCTGACGACGCGGGCACGGTCCTGCAGGGTCGCAGGCTTCTGCTCCGCCTGCGCAGGGTCTTCGCCGCGGCGCAGGCCTTAGCAGGACTGGCCCTGAAGCTGGCCAAGTGCAAGGTGGCGCCCTTGAACGCCGCCTTCACTGAGGAGCTGGCAGCCAACATCGAGGGGTGGCTCGCGCAGGAGCTGCCTGGCTGGGAGCAGATGGACGTGGTTCCGTTCGCCAAGTACCTAGGCTACATCCTGGGTCCAGGCGCCACGATCGATGACGTATGGCAGGAGGCTGGCGCCAGATGGATCCACCGCATTCGCGACCTTGCCCGAGAGGGCGCGCCGGTGCACCTCACGACTGTGATCTACAACTCGCGCGTGCTAACGGTCCTCAGCTATTTGATGCAGCTGGTGCCGCTGCCCCGCGCGCTGGTCAGGCGCGAGGCCTGGGCGTGGCACAAGCTCTGGCACCTCCCGCCTCAATCGATCTCGCTGGCTGGGCTTCTGGGCATCGGGAGCTGGTCGACACTGCGGCCAGCCGGCATGCAGGTCCTCAGCTTGGCCTCCCGAATGCGCACGGCCACGAGCACTGTGACAAACTGGTCGACCCTGCACAAGGCGCTGCACGAGGCCACGCTCGCCTTCGGCAGCCTAGCGGAGGCGGGCTCGGGCTGGCGGTCGCCCAAGTTCTGGAAAACCAAGCCGATCGTGGTCCACATTTCTGAGGCCAGCAAGGCCGCCTTTCCACTGAAGGCTCACGCCTCGGCCGCCCGCACCGCCCTGGCCGCCCTTGCCGAAGCCTCGGGGCAGGGGCGCGTGAGAGTGCAGAGATCCCTTGCCTCCTCCTTACGCCTCGCTCTTTACCCCGACGTCCTCCACCTCACTCTCGCTAAACGCATGGCCTCTTGGGAGCTCCCATTTTCGGAATCGTTTTGGGGTGCCCTCAGAGATCTCATCCGCAATGGGGGCCCCCCAGCATGGCAGAGTGCGGTTCTGAAGACGATTGTAGGAGGTTGGCTCACCAGCGCGCGTTTGCACTCGTCAGAGATAGGCTTGTGTAGATTCAAATGTGCTCAGTGCCGTGATGACATGCTGCGCTATATTCATTGCCCCGTTTTGTGGAGGCTTGTATACCATCCCGATTCGCCTCCTGACTGTCCCTCCACGTGTCTTGGGCTCGATGATAACCCTTCGCCTGAGATCGTCGAGAGGATTGTTCGGGCTTACCATATATATAATGTTGTGCGCACCGCCCCCGATCCTGGCCCCCTCGACAGTGAGGAGGCTCTCGGGAGGCAGCACTGCAAAATACGGCGTGCTGCCCAGATCCTTGTAGAGCACTCTCGAGCGCCCTTCTAGGTCTGTTTGGTGGGACCCGTCTGGACTCCTCAAGGTACGAGTGATATATATATATATATATATATATATATATATATATATCGGTATGATCCAGACAAGATCCCCATGTTTTGTGTCCCAAGACGAGAGTCTTGTCTTATTGTACACGGATGGGGCGGGTGGGTCCCAGGGCGAGAGCCTTGTCTTATTGTACACCGATGGGGCGGGTGGGATCCAGGGCGAGAGTCTTGTCTTACTCTACACTGATGGTTCTGCTTGCATCCTCGTGCACCACCTCTTCCTCCTCCTCCTCCTCGTCTGCCTCCACCGGAGGCGGCGGTATGTTTCCTGCTCGCAGGCGGCCCCAGCTCGCTTGCTGCCCCCGGTGCCCCCGCGGAGCGTCGCACCGGCGCGACGCCCGGAATGCCGTTTTCTCGGGTCGGGCGAAAGGGGGGATAGCAAAGGGGGGGGTTCAGAACCAGCTCGCCTAGCTGACTTTCCCGGCGCCTCCCGGCGCCGGGAGGCGGCTATGCATCGAGGAAGGGGCCCGGCGGCGAGGCCGAAACGAGCTGCATGCAGCAGATTTCGTAACCCCCCCTTTCCCAAACCCCCCCTTTCGTCTGGCCCGATCTTCGTCGTCGTCGTCGTCGTCGTCGTCGTCGTCGCCGTCGTCGTCGTCGTCGTCGTCGTCTCCGCCGTCGTCGCCGGCGGCGTGGCAGCCGGAGCGGGCGCTGGCTCACCGCCCGCCTCAGTGACTGTGCACGCGGCGCCGGACCACGACCGACTCCGGGGCGACTGCCTGCTCAGCCGGGGTCATGGAGCGCCGCCGCGAGCAGCGGGGGTACCTCGTGCAGCCGAGGAACTCGCGGCCGTTGCCAGTGACGACGCGGCGGAGGGCCCTCGCGCACGCGGGGCACCTGAACGAGGAGCGGAGGGCGAGGACGCGGAGGAAAGGAAGGAGGAGGAGGAGGGGGGAAGAGAAGCAGGAGGAGAAGATGTGCACCTTCCCCACTTCGTGGGTTTCAGGGTCCAAGCAGCGCCCGCCGGCGGGGCCGGGGCGTGAAGCAGCGGCGGCGGGCCTGCGCTTGCCTGCGGCGCGGGCGGGGCTGCCGAGGGGTCGCTGGCGGCGCTGGCGGCGGCGCTGCTGGGGGAAGCGGTCGTGTTGGCGGGCTGGGGCACCCCTCTGCGCCAGCGCTTGCGGCCACGGGGCGGGGCAGCGGGCTCGACTGCGTCGGCGTCCGAGGAAAGCTCGATTCTGTCGTCCTCCAGTTCGGACCGAAGGTCCCGTGGGTCCTCGGGGATGGAGGAGGCCACGAAGATGGGATGGGAAGAGGGAGAGAAAGAGGGAGAGGGAGGGAGAGAATCAGGGAGAGGGAGGGCGAGAGACAGACGGACAGGGAGGAGGGGGAGGGAGGGAAAGAGGGCCAAACGAGAGGGGGGATGAAGGGGAGAGGGACGAGGAGAGGGGGGAGGGCATTGCACTGCCGGAGTCCAGCTGGTGGGGGGAGCTGCCAAACTGCACTGCCGGCGGCGTGTCCGTGGGGTCAAGCGAGGCCGGAGTGTCGAGGCCGTCGGCGTCGGGGTGGCCGTAGGCTTTCCCGCGGCGCGGGCGGTGCAGCGTCGCCCCGACGCGTGCCGGCGTGCACGGCGCGACGGCCGCGCACGCGCAAGGCCATTCAGAGAACAGCACCTCGAGCTGGAACGCAGCCAGAGTGATCGGCATGGCGCCCGCCATGCCGCTGCCCGCCCGCCGGAGAGGAGGCGCGCCCGCGTGCTCGAGGCTGCGGCGCGGGTGCGACGAGGCGGAGAGTGGAGAGGGAGGCAGGAAGAGAAAGTGGGACGGGGGGCAGACGGGCGAGGGCGGAGCAGACGTTTCCGTCGCGCCCCCGCGTTGGCGTGTCAGCGGCAAGTGCAGAGAGCAGCCGCCGCCGCCCCCTCCGCACCTGCCGGAGGCCTCTGCTCTCAGAAGCCGGCCTTGCCCCCGTGGCCCCTCCTCCCAGAGGCCGCCGAAAGTCTCAGGAGAGACGTCCCGAACCGAGCCTCTACCCCAGCGAGCAAGGAGCCCAGGTGCCCACGCCAGCGAACTCGGTGAACGCCTGCAGGGCCTGGGACATGCTCGAGTACATGTGGTCGCCCGCGTTGGTCTGCCACACGTGTTCCGCAACCTGGCCGGCAGCGGCAGACTGCTTGGCAGACTGGTCCTTCTTGATCAAAGTGCGGCGCATGGTCCACTTGGACCGAGCCCACCGGCGGTGCCAGGCCACCTCCGATTCAGCATCGTTCGAGTGGAAGCCGGTCTTCTCGTTGCGGAACTCCCGAGACGAGGGAGGGATGGAAGAGGGAAGCGTGGAGCAAGGGGGGCGCGAGGGAGGACTGGATTTGGACGACGCGGGGGGGGTTCAAGTTCAGCTTGGGGAGGGAGCCTGTTGAGTACTGGGCGTGGTGCTGGGGACGAAGGCTGTCGAGTGCTGGGTGGTGCGTTGGAGACGGAGGGAGTTGAGTAACGGGACTGTTTCAAGTTCAGCTTGGGGAGGGAGCCTGTTGAGTATACTGGGTGCGGTGCTGGGGACGAAGGCTGTCGAGTGCTGGGTGGTGTGTTGGAGACGGAGGGAATTGAGTAACGGGACTGTTTCAAGTTCAGCTTGGGGAGGGAGCCTGCTGAATATTGGGTGTGGTACTGGAGACGCAGGTTATCGAGTGTTGGGTGGTGTGTTGGAAACGGAGGGAGTTGAGTAACGGGACTGTTTCAAGTTCAGCTTGGGGAGGGAGCCTGCTGAGTATTGGGTGTGGTGCTGGAGACGAAGGCTGTCGAGTGCTGGGTGGTGTGTTGGAGACGGAGGGAGTTGAGTAACGGGACTGTTTCAAGTTCAGCTTGGGGAGGGAGCCTGCTGAGTATTGGGTGTGGTGCTGGAGACGAAGGCTGTCGAGTGCTGGGCGGCGCGCTGGAGACAGAAGGGGGAAGGGGGGATGCCTGGGAGAAGAGGAGGGAGGGGAGGAGGGAGGGGCACTGGCAGAAGAGAAGGAGGGGAGAAGGGAGAAGGAGAAGAGGGGAGGGCAGAAGGAAAGGATTCCTTCTTGCCGTGGTTGCAAGAGCCCCCGCGCTTGACGCCAGCGCGCTTCGTCGCCGACTCCGCGCCGAGCCACCCGTCGCTCACCACCTTCGTGTGCGGGGTCAGACGGCGCTGGAACACCTCGGCAAGTGCCTCGCCCCCGCGTGGTTTCTGCTCCTTGGCGGCGTTCGGGTGGTCAAGCACCTCGCCGGCGACCCGCTTGGTTCCGTCCTTGTGGGAGCGTTTCCTCTCGCCACCAGTCTGAACGCCGAACCACAACCGCCTGTTTTGCGACCGCTTGTCCGCGGTCGCCCCCCACTTGCCGGTTTTCTCGTTGCCGCGCGGCCCTGCTTGGGGCAGAAAAAAATGGGGCGACGCGGGGATTTGGACGCCCGAAATGGGCACGGAAACAATGGGCGCAGTGCCCAACAGCAAATGTTGTCCCGAACCAACGGCGGCCGCTGTTGGGCAGGCGGCCTTCTGTCTCGAACGAACACAGGCCGCGGCGGAACGGACAGCGAGTTCTGTTCAAAATGAGCAGGAACTGCTGTTGGGCATTGCACCCATTCCTTCCGCACCCATTTCGGGCGTCCAAAGGGGAGCAAAGGAAGGGGGAAGGCCCGGGAGTAGGAGGGAGGCGCCTTAGCTTTGGCCGTCGGTTTGGCCTTGGTTTTCGCCTTCGGGCGGGGCCCCGGTTTCCAGGTGGTGCAGCAAGGGAACTTCTTCTTGACGCGAGAGCCGCGGCCGCGGCGGCGCGCGGCAGCGCAGGGAGCTTCGCCAGCCATGCTGCCGAGACGCCCGATGCCGGCCTCGTCAACTGCGACGAACTCCGGACGACCGTTGGAAGACCCACCTACCCGGTTGAGCCGCGGAACCTGCGCAGGCCCGCAGGCGGCAGTTGTAGTAGTAGTAGTAGTAGTAGTAGTAGTAGTAGTAGTAGTAGTAGTAGTAGTAGTAGTAGTAGTAGTAGTAGTAGTAGTAGTAGTAGTAGTAGTAGTAGTAGTAGTAGTAGTAGTAGTAGTAGTAGTAGTAGTAGTAGTAGTAGTAGTAGTAGTAGTAGTAGTAGTAGTAGTAGTAGTAGTAGTAGTAGTAGTAGTAGTAGTAGTAGTAGTAGTAGTAGTAGTAGTAGTAGTAGTAGTAGTAGTAGTAGTAGTAGTAGTAGTAGTAGTAGTAGTAGTAGTAGTAGTAGTAGTAGTAGTAGTAGTAGTAGTAGTAGTAGTAGTAGTAGTAGTAGTAGTAGTAGTAGTAGTAGTAGTAGTAGTAGCAGTAGTAGTAGCAGTAGTAGTAGTAGTAGTAGTAGTAGTAGTAGTAGCAGTAGTAGTAGTATAGTAGTAGTACTACTACTACTACTACTACTAGTAGTAGTAGTAACAGTAGTAGTAGTAGTAGTAGTAGTAGTAGTAGTAGTAGTAGTAGTAGTAGTAGTAGTAGTAGTAGTAGTAGTAGTAGTAGTAGTAGTAGTAGTAGTGGTAGTCATAGTAGTACGTACTAAAGAGGGGTAGGCGCGGAATCGGCGGCAGCCGCTTGAATTTTGTGGTGCTCGACGTACCACGCCGCGACCTCGTGGCACTTCTTCTCCCAGCGGAAAACGGTGGCGTGGGCGATCTCGTGGAGGGCCCCGAGCGCGTGGACGATGGTCTCGATCTGCTCGTTCATCTTCATGTACACCAAGAAGTGCAAGAATGCGTGCGCGCGGAATCGGCGGCAGCCGCTTGAATTTTGTGGTGCTCGACGTACCACGCCGCGACCTCGTGGCACTTCTTCTCCCAGCGGAAGACGGTGGCGTGGGCGATCTCGTGGAGGGCCCCGAGCGCGTGGACGATGGTCTCGATCTGCTCGTTCATCTTCATGTACACCAAGAAGTGCAAGAATGCGTGCACGTGCCCCGACCGGACGAAATCCTGCGACGGAGAAGGAGAAGGAGGAGGAGGAGGAGGATAACGAGGAGGAGGCGGAGGAGAAGGAGGAGCACTCCAGCGCCGGCACTTGCGGGGACTGGAAGAAGTGCCCGTTGGAGTGGTTCTCGCAGCACCGCCAAAGGAGCTGGCCCGAAGAAAGCTGGCCGAGTTCGCGCGCCTTCTTGCAGTGACGGACCGCGCGGACCACCTTGAAGAACATGAGCACAGCCAGCGCGCGGAGAGCAGGGGCGGGCTCCGCCGAGTCGCCCTCCAGCTCGGGAGAGACCACCTTGGCGGCGAAGACGGCGGACGAGTCGAAGTACTCCTCCTTCAAAGACCTCCGAAAGGTGTCGAGGTCCATCGCGGGTGCTCCGCGCCAGGCCAGGAAAGCTGCGTGGGAGGCGCGTTCCAGCGCCCGTGAGAAGAGGGGCGAGGGCGGGGAGAGAGGGGGACAGGGAGGCGGTGAAACGCGTCGCCCACGCAGCGTTCCTAGCCTGGCGGCCGTGGCCCTGCTGAGAAGGCGCCGCCCCGCGCCCCCTCCAAAGTGGCCCCGGAACCAGTGGCGCCGCCAAGAGAAAGGACTTGAGCCAGAACGGCTGTGGTCGCGCCGAGCGCAAGGCAAAGGAATGGTCGGGGAGTTCCTGGACGCCCAACGCACAATATGTTTGCGAGCGTGGGCCCCAAACAGTGGCTGTTCGTGTGTGTGCGTGTGTGCGTGTGTGTGTGTGTCAGCGAAGGCGGTTCATTTCACGTCGTGCAGGGGTATAATCCATCCAAGATGGTCTCGATCCATTCAACGCGGATCTGATATTTTCAAGATTCGTGGAACTTGAAACGCACGGCTCCTTCGGGGAACATAAAAATGTTGATGATAAAAAACCCTGCGTGGGGATCTTGAATGGATTATACTCATATATATATATAAATATCTAAAGGCTGCCGCCTCTGCCGCCGGCCCCAGAGAAGTTCAGGGAGGCTAATTTGCTTTGTGCGTTTGGCTGACCGCGTCTTGCTTTTCCGCACGCGCGTTTCCGATGAGTCGGACGGGCATCGGCGTCTCGGGGCCACATGCTCGAAAGTTACGTTCGGGCCCCCCCTCTGGGCCCCTTTTGGGGCCGTCCTGTGGCCCTCGTCGGGCGTCTTGTTTTTTTGTTTTGCCGCTCTGGAGTCCTCTTGGGTCGTCTAGGAGCCCTCTTGGGGGTTTCTCGGGCCGTATCGGAGGCGTAGAAAACTCAACAGGTGAATGTGCTGAAAGTATACGTTTTCCTTAGGGAATGGGACGATGTCTGGTTTTGGGGGCCCTCTTGGAGGGCGTCCTGGGCGCATCTTGGGCCGTTTGGAGGCCATCTTGGGCGTTTTTGAACGCTCTTTCGGCGACTTGGGGCCTTCTTCGACCGTCTTGGGGGCTTTCTGTGCTTCCCAGAAGCATCCGAGGACAGGCCCATGCGGCGCCGAGATGCACGGCGGCGGATTCGCTTCTTCTTCGCCGGTGCCCCCAGTAAGGTTCCAGAGAAATACGCACACATCGAACAACGAGCACCAATTCCTCAACCCATGGTTCGTTGTCCTCTCTACTCCTCCTCCAGGAGGGAGGAAGAGGAGGAGACAAGAAGGGGGGGGAGGGAGAAGAGAATAATGGGGAGGAGGGAGGAAGAAGAGGTCGGGAGGAATGGTGGCGATTGCCCGAGAGTCCACTGGAGCCATGTGGGTGGTCGTAGTGACATCGTGGGAGGCCTTTCGGGGGCGCGTTGATCCACCTAGAAGGGGTCGTGGTAGGAGTTCGGGGGCATATTGGGGGCCTCTTGGCGTAATCTTCAAGATGCGCGGAGGCTCTCTGGGAGGGCCCGGGGGCCTCTTGAGGCAGACGGCTCCCTCTGTCGGTGTGGGTTTCCTTCGTCCGGCATCTATTCGGGCTGCGTCGCGGCCATCTTAGGCAGTCGTGGGCGATGCTGAAGCTGCGTGAGGCCCTCCTGGGGCGCGTGGGGAACCACTCGAGGGGTTCCCGGGGGGGCCTGGAGCGGTTTGTAGGGCCGCTGAAGCGTGGTGGAGCGCGCGCAGCTGGAAGAGCTGCGAACATGAAAGCTTGTTGAACAAAAGATTACTCCATGTTTTCTCCCGCGTTGCGCGAACTCTGATGGTTTCCTCGGGGCCTCTGAGGCAGTCTTCGAGCCATATTGGCTACCATGGCGGCTTTGTTGGCGTCGCAGAACCGTTCTGGAGGGGCCGCGGGTCGCCCGCCCTTGAAGAGAATACAGGAACCCTACGAGACAGCCCCTGGCAGTCTAGCGCGCCTGAGCGTGCGAGGGTGCATGGTGGGTCATTTGAAAGCCCTATCGAATTATCTTGGCGCTCTGTGTGAGCTCTCCTGGGCTGTTTCGAGCTCTTCTCAGGCCCCCGAGGCTCCAGGTCAAGCGCTCGCGAAGTCATGGGCCCGGGGAAGGCCCCCCTCAAAACGTCATTTTGGGCCCCAGGGGATCGGGAAGAGTTGAGGGGCACAGCCAAATGTCTCACGCGCATTCCCCCCCCCCCCCCACACACACACACACACGCACACACACACACACACACACACACACACACACACACACACACACACACACACACACACACACACACACACACACACACACACACACACACACACACACACACACACACACACACACACACACACACACACACACACACACACACACACACACACACACACACACACACACACACACACACACACACACACACACACGCGCCAAGTGGGAGTGGGCGGATTTTGAAAGATTCGCACGGCAGTGGGCATCTAAGAACAACGGTGGTCGTTGGCGCCACGATGTGGCCCACGCATGGCCGGGAGGGGCTGTCCCGCAGTTGACGACCATCATTTTGTACGCTCCACCCCAATTGCACATGTGCACTTCAACTCTTCGCTTGCCAGTGCACATCTCACAGGAATGGAGGTCGTTGGCCAGCGGCCTCTGGCCCCCCCCCAGGCCTTTGATTGGTTTTGATTGCTGCGCGCGGCAGCGAGCATCTTAGAATAATGTTGGCCGTTGACGCCACGATGTGTTCCACGCGTGGCCGCCGGGCGCGGGGGCTGACATGTCGAGCTCCCCGCCCAAAGAGCCCCCAGGAGTCCAATGGGTCCCCAGGAGACTCCCAGCAGGCTCCCAAGAGGCCCCAAGAGGCCTCGAGGGGCCTCCAGCAAGCCCCCAGAAACCCTGAGGTCCTTAAGATCGGAAACTTTCGATCTTAGACAAGAGGATCGATATAATGATCCTTTTGGTGTGTTAGGATCAATAATTCGATCCTGTAGTTAAGTTGTCGTGCGTTGCGGTGTGATCGTTTGAAAAAAAAAAAAAAAAAAATCCTCCTCTCTCTCTCTCTCTCTCTCTCCTCCTTTACTCACATATTGCACCAGTAATTAGCACAACATACAAACGCCACGAAGACACATAGCGCATCCGTGCATCGTGGTTGAACATTGGCACTCGGCCTGCCCCGACTGGTGATCCGATTGCATCGCACGGGCTGTCCCTGATCTGCTTGTGCTTCGTGTCCTTTGGATATTCGAGGGCAGACCACCCCCGCCACCCTTGCCCCAACCTATCTGGTCCACCGTTGCCATTTGGGCTGTTCAGCGTGGGTCAAGCCAGCGATTGCATTCGCTTGTGGACTTTCAGTCGGCGGGCGATGTCGACAGACGCGGAGAAGCTCGGTCGCTGCTTGGTTGACTTCGCGAAGGCGCCCTCCTTTTTCAAGGGCTCGGGTAAATCGGGGGGTTTCGGCAAGTCCTCCAACATCCTGAGTCAGCATCGCATGTGGTCCGAGATATCTAAGGTGAGGCCTTCGCTGAGTTGGAGCAAGCCCGAGGCGACGGAGGCGATGGGGGTCGTGCTCAAGGAGTGCAAGGAAAATTGGAAGGAGTTCAATAAGGATGACGAGACGGATTGGCTCAGCAAGATGCCGAATCGTTTCAAGTTCGTTTGCAGGGCCATCAACCAGGCGAGGCTCAAGAAGACGAGCAAGTGGGTCCACAAGCTCGGTCTCGCCGCCGCTTCCAAGGAGGGCGCCGCGGCGCAGGCTACAGACGTTGACGGGGATGCGCAAGCCGAGGATGGCGAGGATGAGCCCGTCGAGGACGAAGGAGGGGAAGAGGACGAGGCCGAGAAGAACGACGAGGACGACCCACCGCTTTTGCAGCTCTCCGAGGCTGCTGTCAAGGAGCCCGACTCCGACAAGCAGCAGGGCGTCGACGGCGCCGTTGGCGCGTCCGAGGTGGGGGCCCAAAACGTACTCAGAACAGTGGAGCGGTTGAGTAGGGCTTCGAGCGTGGGTGGTGGTGAATGTGGTAGGTGTTGAGGGAATGCCTCCCCCGCTCACCACCACCCGCGCTCGAAGCCCGACTGTGTCGCCACTGGCATGCGTGCGTTTTGGGCCCAGTAAGGGCGCTGGCGCGCCAGCTTCGTCCGCCGACGGCCAACATTACGCCCAGAAGGACAGCCTCAAGCATGAGGGCAAGTACGTATTGGGCTTCTGCCGCGAGCACATGAAGGCGTGGAGGTGCATGCCAGGTCAGAAAAAGGAGTTCACGAAGGACGTCAAGAAGCCAGAGGGGTCCACGCCAGAGGACCCAACCTTGGCAACGTGGTCCGATGGTTTCAAAGCTCGCATCTTCCAGTTGAGTTGCGCCGAGTTCGACGCGATCGAGGACACCGAAAAGGTTAGCACCTCCAGGGGTACGTATGTCTGGGAGACTCGCCCGACGGAGAACTCGCGCATCTGGGTGAGCAGGCCTACCTCGAAGAACAACGTGTTCTGCGTCCACTCCAAGGTCGACGGGTCTCAGAGCCAGATGTGCCAGGTCAAGGCGACGGCGTTCGGGGATGACGAGGAGCAGATCAAGGAAGCCGAGAAGCTCGCAGTGAAGCTCGCTCAGAAGTTGGCGTCCACGGAGGACACAACCAAGGATATGCTCAAGGAGCTCAGGGACAAGGCGCTGCCCACGCCCACGAAGGTCAAGAGGCTGGCGAGCCAGACCGACGGCAAGCAACCAGCACCGAAGAAGGCCAAGAGCAAGGCGAAGGCCATTCCACCCTGTCAGGCGGAGGCCGCGCAGCCCGTCGTGCCAGCCGAGCCCGTCACGCCAACGCCCGACGAGGGGAAGATCACGGATTTGCCAGGGAGCGCCTCGGCCAACGAGTCCGAGTCCGAGAAGGCGGCCATCTCACACAAGTGCGGGTTCTGCGGCGAGGAGCCCACGTGCCTGGACATCTTCAAGAAGTACAACTTGTGCACGGCGTGCTACAATGACAATATATTTGGTTGAGGCCTCGAGCGAACGTCGCCGTTCGTAGTAGCTCGGAT